AATGTAGATGATGTGCTGGTGCTGTTGGTTTTTTTTTAAGTTAAACTCAACATGTTTTTAAATTAACCATCTTCCAAAAACACATTTTGTACAAGCTCCAAAAAAAAATTTTTTTTTAAGCCCAGTTAATGCTTCCGGAAAGACACGCATATACAATGCTAAATGCCAAAAGCAAGATATGGCACACAAATAATGTATGATGTGCCATTGTTGTTTTTTTTTCTTTTTTTTTCACTGAATTCAACAAGCATTAACTAAAAGCAGTTTTCAAAGATACATCTTGTAAAATCTCAGAAAACACAATTCTGAGCATCATAGGCTCATACAGAAAAATGTAGGCCTACAAGATAAACACAAGCTTTTTGTTAAAAAACAAAATAATGTGTTGTTTTCTTTAACTAAACTCAACATGTTTTGACATTGATCACTTCTCAAGAACATGTTTTGTACAAGCTGAGGAAAAAAATAGAGCCCTTAGCACTTCCAGGAAGATATGCATATAGAGCCCTAAATGCTAAAAGCAAGATACAGCGCACAAATAATGTATGATGTGCTGTTTTCTTTCACTGAATTCAAAATGTATTAACTAAGAGTAGTTTTTGAAGACAAATCTTAGCAAATCTCAGAAAACACAATTCTGAGCACAGTAGGCCCAACAAAGAACATGAGAGCATTCATTCCTGGGAGTTAAATGCAAGCCTTCTCCCAAAAACCTAGGTGATTGCTGTTTTCTTCACAAATTCAAGATATTTTGAAATTGATCACTTTTAAACAACATGCTTTCTACAAGCTCAGAAAACATTTTGGAACCCAGTTAGTGCTTACAGGAAGATATGCCTATACACCACAAAATGCTAAAAGCAAGATATAACATACAAATAATGTATGATGTGCTTTGTTCTTTCACTGAATTCAATGTTTATTAACTATGAACAGTTTTCAAAGAGACATCTTGTCAAATCTCAAAAAACACATATTAGCCTTACACAGCAAATGTGAATATCTAGCTCTAAAAGGTAAATACAAGCTCTGTTAGAAAACTAGATGATGTGTTGTTTTTTCACTGAACTCAGCATGTTTTGTCATTGATCACTTTTCAAAAACACTCTTTGTAGAATTTCAAAGTAAAACATTTCAATGCCCAGTTATTGCTTCCAGGAAGATATATACATGCAATCCTAAATGTTAATAGCAAGATATGGCACAGAAATGATGTAAGATGTGCTTTTTTTTTTTCTGAGTTCAACATGTATTAACCAAGAACAGCTTTCAAAGACACATCTTGTCAAATCTCAGAAAACACAATTTTGGGCACAGTAGGTCAACACAGAACATGAGCTTATCCAGCACTGAAAAGTAAATTCAAGGTTTGTGCAAAAAACAAAAATGATGTGCTATTTTCTTTCACTGAATTGAACATATTTTAACATTGATCACTTTTCAAAAACACGTTTTGTACAAGCCCAGAAAAAACATTTCGGAGCCCAGTCAGGGCTTCCAGAAAGATGTGCATATACAGCCCTAAATGCTAAAAGCAATTTATAGCACACAAATAATTTAGTCGTGCTCTTTTCTTTAACAAAGAGCAGTTTCTAAAGACGCATCTTGTTAAATCTCAGACAACAAAATTCTGAGCAGAGTAGATTCACACACAACATGCAAGTATCTATCCCTAATAAATAAATGTAAGCTTTGTGACAAAAACTGAGTCAGAATGTAGTTTGTAATGAAAAAAAAAAAGAGTTAAAGTTTCTTTATATCGGGCCCAGGCAGGCATTTCAATTATAACAGCAGTCATATCTTACTCCCCACTTGAGCTAATTACCTCTCAATGCCACCTTTTCTGTGGGCTCTAGAATAACTATTGCCAAGTAGAACTTTTACCCATAGTTCAACAATGTAATGAATCACTAACCAATGTTATTGGTATGAACCAGGGAGAATTCTTGAACAACTTTCGTAATTTCTTGTGATTTGTGCTTTTTTCTTAAAAACTGAAGCCTCTGTTTTATTCTCCAGAGCACTCCCCAAGGCCAATTGGAAGTGTATCTTGGGAAGCTGTCCTCAACCTCAGGCCAAATGAACTCTCTATTAATTTTGCCCCAGCTTTTGCCATTGGGTTGATATACATATGAAGAAAATCTGTGAAGGTCACTCTTACAGCTTTGAGACTAGAGAAAGGGCTTATGAATTTTACAGTTTATTCAGGTCAAAATCTTAAGCTGACGCCATATGAGAGCTTCCTGCTGGTGGAAATTAAGGCACTGAAGGAGGGAGCATTGCCACCCTTAGGATGGGCAGGGAAACATGTTGAGCTCAGCGTTCAATCCTTAGGTTCATGGTCTGTTCCACCGCAGGCTCTGCGTGAGGGGTGAGAGTCTGACTCCCAAGCTTGCAATACTCTTCCAAATGCAGGCTTTTCCTTGTGAACTGTGGGTACAGGAGGCTGCTTCTCTGATCTAGTTTAAATGTTTGATTTTCTTCTCTTTTATTTCTTTTTTAGAATATTCCTGTCATATAACTCCAGTTTATTTATGCATTTAACAATAACATTCTTGTTGGTGTGTCCATTTTCTTGGCTGCAAATGAATAGATTGAAAGATAGGGTATGAAAAACCGTTGGCCTTGCCCCCAGCAGCCTCATCCCAGTGGCCCCCCCTCCTGCTTTATTCATTCATTCATTCATTCATTCGTTCATTTGAGAAGGAGTCTTGCTCTGTTCCGCAGGCTGGAGTGTAGTGGCACGATCTCAGCTTACTGCAACCTCTGCCTCCCAGGTTCAAGTGATTCTCCTGCCTCAGGCTACCCAGTAGCTGGGACTACAGGCACTTGCCACTGAGCCTGGCTAATTTTCATATTTTTAGTAGATGCAGGGTTTCACCATGTTGGCCAGGTTGGTCTCAAACTCCTGACTTCAAATGATCCACTCGCCTCGGCCTCCAAAAATGCTGGGATTACAGGCGTGACTCCCTCCTGCTTTAGTCCTGACTTGCCTGACCTGGGGCCTCCTCCTGCTCTGAGGCCCAGGCATCACTCACTCATTAGACACTGAGTGTGGAGCTTCCTCCTCCAATTTGTGACACCCCCACCCCACCCTCATCCAGGAGGAAAAATCAAGAAGGGCCCAATGTGTGCAGGCAGATGTCAGTGTCTGCTTGGCAAAGCCTGAAGAAAGTCCTGTATAAATGCAAATATCACAACCTCCTTCTCCGAAATGTCTGGCTCAGTGAGGATGTGAGCCCTGTGGCCATGAACCTGTCATTCCCACTCCACTCAGCCTCCTGCCAGGGTGGGAAACCTGAGTCAGTGCCCAATCAGGGGCGCTGAGGACCATGCATGCTGTTCAGTCAAGCACGATGCTGTCCCCCACAGGTGGTGGGCTTCGTTCCTGCGTTTGTCAGGATCCTGCTTCTGGCGCCTGCTGCCCTGGGTTTGGTGTCCCGGGTGTTTGGATGTTCGCTGAGATCTGCACTCTGCAGGAGCCATGGGCAAGGCACCTGGACAGCCTGGAAGCTGAGAATGGTGAATGAACTGGGAGAATTGCACGTGGAATGCACGGCTTGTCCTGGGGAGCAGTGGGCTGCGCAGCCCCAGTCCCTCCTTTCCCCCCGGGGCAGTGGAGGGGTGAGAACCGGTTTCCAAGTTCATGGGAAGCCAGGTCTCAAACCCACCGCCCTGTCCCCAGCCTCGCTCCTCCTAGGGCGGGAGGCAAATCCCACAGACCCTGCCAACTCCAAGCAACCCCGCTCCGCTGGAGACCACCCCAGCTCGAAGGGGCCACTCCAGCCACCGCTGCAAGGGGACGTGCTCCTCCTCTCCCTGCGCCTGCTGCTTCTCATGAAGGACCACCGGGAGGGCGCTGTCTCCCAGTTAGGGGAACTCTGATACCAATGCCTCTGCTCCCTGGGCGGTGAGCGAAGTGCCCACAGGTCCTTCGGCCAGAGGCAGGGCTGCTTCGGTTTCCATCCCAGACCAGACAAAGGGCCGAAAAAAGAAGACTTGAGGTGGGCTGGGTGGCTCACGCCTGTAATCGCAGCACTTTGGGAGTCCAAGTTGGGCAGATCGGTTGAGATCAGGAGTTCGAGACCAGCCTGGCCAACATGTCGAAACCCCTTCTCT